AGGTTCGGGGGCCGAGACACGCAGTTCGGGGCCCCGAAAACGGGCTGTTAAGCACCGGGAGTGGTGCTCGACCACGAAGTTGGTCTCTCGGACCACAGTGCCCCTCAAAAGGGAGCAAATAAGAAGTATACCAAAAATCGAAGCAAATGGAGATGGTTAAGCGGTCTCGAACCGAGGCACACGGCCAACGGCTCTGAAAAATCAGAAACCGGACTCCAAACGGGCAAAATGGCCTACAACTACAAAACGTAGCCTACGGCCACTGAGAGATGATCTACGAGACCTCTCCCTCCCTTCACGAAGAGAAAACAGAGAAAACCGAGCCTGGTTCGCAAACCGAGGCAAAGCATGAAAGGGTCCGGAAGTCCAGAGGCAAGGCTCGTAGCCGAGACTCTGAAACTTCTGAACGAGCACAATATGCAATATCACCAAGCGCTCAACTGGTGGCGTCTGAGTCTCAAGGTCAGTCAAAAATGGGGTGTTTACAGTTGTTCAAATTGATCCATATGCCATACTAGTAGCCGAGCCTATTAATTACATTATTGCATGCGTTGCATTAGACATCTTGTATAGTTAGGCTTATGCATTTTTCTAACTAGTTTATGTTTTGGCATGGAGTACTAAATGAGTTTTTACGCTTTAGCATACTTGCATAAGTGTGAATTTTGCCATGATTAGCATGCTTGCCATGAGGCTATGTGATTAAATGCTAAACTGCTTGATTGCCTGTGGATAAAGGCTTATTGTTTGAATTGGAACAATTCATCAAATGTGTGTTTCAAGCCCACTTTGTTGAGTAGTAAATCTTGTTTTAAACCCACTATGTTTAGTGAAAAATCCGCATCTTTTAAGCCTACTTGAGGGTGGCAAATTCAAACCATTTTTACAAACAAATATGAGTTGAATTGTTCCAACTTGAGCAAACTAGTTTATACTTGCGTGTGCGCGTCCAATAGTAAGCTAGTTTAATAATCAAAACAAGAACACATAATGTTTATAAAAAATCATATCATGATTAGTAGAGGCTGATCTTTGATCGGGCGAGCGGGGGTGCTCAATTCATGACCTTCCCCTCTCGTACCTAAGTTCTTGAGCCGAGGCAACTTTGGTGATGACAGTCCAATTTTGGCATTTTTTATTCAAAATCAATTTTCTAAAATGATTTGCTGGATTTGGACTCTTTGGTGTTTATCAGTTTCACATTGCACTTGTGAGACTAGATTCAGAACCGCAGGAGTCCGAATTGTGAGGCCTTTTTTTCAAACCCTTTCTGAAAGGCGGGGTGCGAAAAAAGGCGAATCCACAATGTGGTTGAGTTCTGTACTGTTTTATGCAAGTATGCTATTGAGGTTGGTTTTCAGTTTACGTATGTTAAAAATGACAAGCTGAGGGTTACGACAGAATGTGCATATAAGGAATCAAGGGGATGTATGTGGCATGTACATGCTTTAGTTGAATAAACAAAGGGGTTCTTTTACATAAGAACTTTGAACAATGAACATACATGTGGTGTGGCGGTTGGTACTAGTAAACATACTAGGATGACTTCCAGTTTAGTTTCTAGGCTGATACTTGAAGAGGTAAGTGCAAAACCTTTAACTCGTCCAGTGGATGTTGTCAAATAAATGAAAGACAAGTATGGGGTCTCAATCAATTATAACTGGGGTTGGTTGGGGGTTAAAAAAGTAAAATGTAGTACATATGGTGATTCTTGTTTGTCATTCGATCAATTATGGTGGTATTTGGATGAGGCATTGAAGAACAATCCAGGTAGTCGTTTTGAGTTAGATTTTGAAGATAACAAGCGTTTCAAAAGAGTATTTGTGACTTTTCATGTATGCATTACTGGTTTCAAATATTGTCGGCCATTGTTGTTTCTTGATGGAACATTTTTGAAAGGACGATACAAAGGAGTTATGCTTGCTGCGATGGAGAAAGATGGGAATGAAGGTAATTGTAAATATATCTATTATACATGTGGGAATTGAGTGAATTTTCTATTTTTGTGGTTATGTTTTGTGATTTTTCTCCAACACTTTGAATTTTCTCTGGTTTTGGTCATTCTGTGAATTTTCTCTGGATTTTGGTTAGTGTGTAAATTTTCTCTGGATGTTGTCATTGTGTGAATTTTATCTATAGTTGGTCACTGAGTGAATTTTCTCTAGATATTGTCGTTGTGTGAATTTTCTCGGTAGTTGGTCACTAAGTGAATTTTCTCTGGATATTGTCATTGCATGAATTTTCTCGGTAGTTGGTCACTAAGTGAATTTTCTCTGGATATTGTCATTGTGTGAATTTTCTTGGTAGTTGGTCACTAAGTGAATTTTCTCTAGATGTTGCCAATGTGTGAATTTTCTCTGGAGTTGTTCACTAAGTGAATTTTCTCTGGAGGTTGCCATTGTGTGAATTTTCTCTAGATTTGGCCACTGTGTGAAGTTTCTTTAGATGTTGGCAGTGCCAAATTTCTTTGGTTGTTTATTGTTCTAATTTTCTCTGCATGTGTATATCTAATATGCTTGTTCCTATTTGTTTTGTAGGTTTTTATCCTATAGCTTTTGCCATTGTTGATGCTGAGAATGAAGACAATTGGTGTTTGTTCCTTAAACATTTATGTGAAGTATTGGGTCAGAGAAGGTGATAAGTTTCATATCAAATCGACATTATGGTATTGTGGAAGGAATTGCTAGGTTTTTCCCTAATTGCTATCATGGATTTTGTCTTGAGCATCTAAAGAGAAATTTGAGGGATAGGTTATCATGTGGAAACACAAATTTGGTTAGGGAGACGATTGTGTCCAATTTTTTAGAATGCGCATATGCGCTAACAAAGGCATCATTCCATTTCAAGTTAAATGAATTAAAAAATGAAAAAGGAGACATTATGAGTGTTTTCTTGAGAAGTTTACCATATGAAAATTGAAGTGATGCATATTTTGAGGGGAAACGTTATGGTAAGATATTTTCAAATGTTGCTTAGTCATTCAATTCATGGATACCATACGCTTGGCACTTGCCAATAAAAAATTTGGTAGACATGATACGGTTACAAATCATGAATATGAGGTCTGATAGGAGGCTGCTCTATAGTAAATGGAATAAATTTCTTTGAATTTTCTAATAGCAGTGAAAATTGCTTTTTGTATTGTGTTTTTAGAAACATACTTTGGAAGTGCCTTTATAAAACCAGTCAAATTCATATAGAGAAATTTGCCAATAGCAGAGAAATTTACTATGGGCATTGTTTTTGTTGAAATGTGCATTGTGTTTTATAAGGTAAAATTCATCCAAAGAAATTTACCAATAGAAAAGAAAATTATACTGTGCATTGTGTTTGTTGAAACATACTATAGGCAGTGTGTTTATAATACCAGTCAAATTCATCCAAAGAAAATTGCCACTAGCAAAGAAAATTCTCTGTGCATTGTATTTTGTGAGGTCAAATTCATCCAGAGAAATTTACCAATAGCAAAGAAAATTATACTGTGCATTGTGTTTGTTGAAACATACTATAGGCAGTGTGTTTATAATACCAGTCAAATTCATCCAAAGAAAATTGCCACTAGCAAAGAAAATTCTCTGTGCATTGTATTTTGTGAGGTCAAATTCATCCAGAGAAATTTGCCAATAGCAGAGAAAATTACTGTGTGCATTGTGTTTTTTGAATTTGATGATTGTTTTGTACCAACATAGTGCATTACAAATTAAATGATCATATAGGCACCCTCTTGGCATGATACGAGTTAAATTTCTTTGTGAATTTCTGGTAACATCATACCAGAAATTTCTACAGACAATTTTCTCTACGTGGATTGTGTTGACAATCACCACTTAGTATGCATTATAAAAAAATATATATTTAACCATTGATAGCTATGAAATTTACATTAGTCAAAAAAAGATATATACATATATGTCAAACATCATTATTCCTTCAATGTATGAAAAAACAAATTGAAGGGTTATTCCAAATTACATTGTGTGCATTGTCTTCCTTCTACTAGTGTGTTTTCACTAGTGTGCTTTCACTATTATACTTTTGGTTATTCTTTTGGTGGTATTTGAATTGGTTCTGTCCATGACCGGCCAACTTTGGTTGTAAATCTCTCTATGATTTCTGTCATCATCAACCTTACGTCTTGTGTCGACAATTTTGAGCTGATAGGTTCATGGTTGCTATATTGTCTCATCATGTAGCATACAAATAGGCCACAAGCCATATTGTATACAAATTATACATATAGTTAGTTTTAAGAAACATTCAAATTAGATTATCTTATTTATAGATGTATGAAACTTACGAATCATTGTCTTGTTGTGGAGCATTGTTAACATATTCAAAGTCATAATTTGTACTTTGTGAGTCTATCAATTTGAAAGAGGGTTATGATTGTGCCTTTCTTTCAAGGCAAGCTTTCAAAAAATTCTCCACATAATCTTGCTGCAAAAAAATAATTTTTAAATAACAGAAAAATTTACACACAAAATAATAGGATTCTGTGAAAATTATCATCAGATAAACATTATTATGGATCAGAGAAATTTGCATTCGTTACCAATTGTTTTGCATCTTTGATATATTTATCTTGTTCATCATCCCTCTTTGGCCTTAGTGAGTTGTAGTACCTCCATGAATTGTCTTGTTTGTCCAAAGACCCAGTGATTTCTATCTGTTGACTTCTTATTGCCCCCGGTATTTATTGGGAAATGGAGGAACTTTTAGTTCATTCATGCTGTTTCAAGACACTTGTCAAATAATAAGACTCGAAAAGTTTGATTTTCTGTTCTCTTGATGAAGTTTTACGGTCAGAGAAAATCAAAAAATGGTTATAAGAAAGTTGAAATGATAGGAATTTCAAAAATATACACACAGAGAAATTTTAAATGCACACAACTAGCCAAAGAAAATTAGACTAATGACATAACTGGCTTCAAAAAGTATCTTAACAAGAGAAAGTAGTAAGTAAATTCTAGAGAAAATCAAATAAAAGAGTAGTAACATACCAAGATGAAATTGGTTGTTGTCCTTTTCTCCTTTGGTCAGCAAATAGGATCTCTCCATAGCCATCAATGACCTAAAAAATATCATGTGTAATTGTAACATTGGTTTATAAAGCCTGATGGAACATTGTAGAGAAATTTTGATAAAAAACTTACATTGTTGGCAATTTCTTTTTCCTTTATTAGGTTTATAATATCTTCAAAGGTAATGAGATTCAACTCACTTGTCTAGATTAAAGCCCTACAAGATGACAAAGAAGGGATTTAATAGTTGTTAATACAATATCAGTTAGTAAATTATTGTTTGTTATCTTCTATTTTATTTGTTGTACTTACTCGAGTCCAAATACATTTGATATGTGCTGCAAGATGTCATTTGCATGTTCTTTTACCAATTTTGCAACCGGTAAAGTTTGTGAAAAAACTCAAGATTTTCTGATGCTTGTTAATTGAGGCAAGACGTACTCGTCGACATCAACTACTTCTTTGTCTTTGGTGGTTTGCTCAGTTTGTTTTGCAGCTTACTTTGAACCTCTAATCACCTTCACAACTTTGGGATATTGAAATTCTGGATCTTATTGCTTTTCTTTCCTTGTTTTTGCCTTTAAATTCTTTGTCATTGATGTAGGATATTTTTTCACTGTAGACAGTGAAAACATCAATAAAAGTTAAATTTCTTTGAAGTAACAGATCATATTTCAATATGTAAATTAATTTGATTCAATATTTTTCAGTTACCATAGACTTTTATTTTTTGTTTTGGTTATTGTTTGTGTGCCTCTTGTTCTTGCAGGGTTGTTGATTGTTGTTCCACTTCTATTCCAACTATACACAGTGAAAATCAAACAAAGCCCAAAAATCAAATAAGTAAATAGACAGAGAAAATCAAATAAGCAGCAGAAATCAAACTGGCCAAACTAATGTGGTCAGAGAAATTTAACTTTCAGAGAAAATTACCATTGACAGAGAAAATTGTAATAAATAGAAATTTCTTTGAGTTATGTTGACACAAGAATATAACTTTTTGTGGCTCAAGATTTTCACTGACCTTGGGGTTGAACTTGTGTTAGTATTCAATAAGATTGTGTTGCTAGTTGGACGGATAAATCTTGAATTTGTTCATGTAATCTAGCATTTTCAGTTTTAAGCTCTGAAATTGAATACGTCAACTGTTGAATTTTTTTTGTATCATCTTCTTTTTGAGCCTCCAACATCTTTAGATTCATTTGGTTTGTGCTATCTCTTTCATGAAGTTCCGAGTTAAATGATGTCAAGGTTCTTATTGCAATGTCATTTTCTGCAAGTAATTCATTCCAATTTTTCTCTTCTTTTATTTTGGATTTAGAAAGTACCTTTAGTCTTTGATGTAGATTAGCAATTTGAGTATCCTTTGATTCCACAGATTCTTGAGGCTGATGCATTGTTGAGCCACAAATGCTATCATGATGTTGGTCTATCGACTCATTATGTTCTACTTCATCCCTTTCCTCATTGTTTTCTTATTCCTCTTTAAATTCAGTGCCTTCATCTTCTTCTTTCTGTTCATTTTCTTCTTTGTCTTCTACTTCTTCATTTTCTTCTTTAGTTTCCGCTTCTGCACTGCTTGCTTGATCTTCATCTCCATTGCTTGCTTCTTGTTCTTCTGTGTTGCTTTCTCTTTCTTCATTCCCCCCTTCTTCTTCAGATGAATCTTCTAATGTCTCATTGAATTTGACCAATGCCTTTTTTGATTCTTTCTTCTTCTTTTTACTAAGACAAAACTCTTCTGATGAGTTTTTAACTAGCTCCTTGTTATCTATCTGTAACAGGGGGCTCTTTTATTAGAGAAATGTTAAAAATTCACTGAGAGAAAAATTCAAATAAGGTAAATAAAATTCATCTAAATCATACTAATGGGAAACAAACTTCAGAGAAAATTATATGGGCCAGAGAAAATTACACACAAGAAGACATAATTTTATGGGTCAGAGAAAATTATGAAACAAGCAGCATAATTTAGATATCAAAGAAAATCAATCAATGCAAATAAGTTAATATCACTATAATTGTGGTCAGAGACATTTAGATTCTAGAGAAAATTCATTACAAGGGCAGAAATAAACAGTGTTAATAAAAGAAGCAACATATATTGAAATTTCAGAGAAAATTGACCTCAATCAGTCAAGGCACATAAGTTATGAGTCAGATAAAATTACACACAAGGAGAAATAATTTTATGGACCAGAGAAAATTATGAAACAAACAACACAATTTAGATATCAGAGAAAATCCATCAAGGCATATAAGTTAATGTGTTACAATTGTGGTCAGAGAAATTTGGATTCAAACAAACCAATGGTCAAAGAAATTTTGGAATTTCACTGAGAATACAGTGGCTATAGAAATCTAACAGGTCGAGGTACAAGAGAGTGGATTGGTGTCTTCTGCAACTATTTGGTCAAGCTTTGCAGGTTCTACTCGGTACATCTTGGGAAGTTAGTTGTGTTACTGTCTTCCTAGTCAATGATATTCGCATGTTCACATAGCCAATACTGTTATGGAAATTGAAGTAATTAAATTTTGCTAAACATACAAATTTGTAAGTATCATAATTGTAAATTTGAATGGAAATTCTACTTACCAACAATGCAATGACACACCCCGTAACTTTTTTTAGAGTTTTGTGCAATACTGTTATAGAATCGATCAATGTTGTTGTGATTGCTTCTAGCCAATCATACCACTTCATTGATTCAAGAGGCTCCACATACTTGATATAAACTCACCCTATTGAATTCCCGTTTGTTGCAAAAAATAGGATGAGACACAAGTACAAGATAACGATAATTGCTACATCTTTAAAGTCAGTTGGTTGCTTGCCTTTCATTGCTTTGACCAACACATTCTTAAGAACAGGACCAGTGAGCCTTGTGTCCTTTGGGAATGTTCGCTTTAGAAATGCAATCTTTGGTTTTTTTTGAGTATCTTAATGACATGGCTTCTTTACCATCTTGCAAATCAAAAATTAAGGTCATGTCATTGGTTGTAAAGATCAAGTTCTTTTTACTAGCTGTGAATGCTTTCGTTTTTTCATTGTAACGTTGGATTATTGCACCTACATCATCATCAGATTTCCTAGACTTCCTTAGATCCATCCTTCCAGTGGTTAGAGCTTGGATCAAATACCATAATGGAGTCTTTTGAAGCTCTACAAGTTGGTTTGAATTGAATTTAAGGGTTTGAAAAAATGAGACAATAGATGAGAAGTTGGATCGGTATTGGATGTTGTAATGAGCTCTCATTCTTTGGAGTTTAACAGGTTTTTCCCCTCTTGAGCTTGAGTCTTTTGAAGTTGGGGTATTCATCTTGATTCTTGTTGCTTCATCACCTTGGACTTGTGTTTTTTGGCAAGGAGTTTGTAGTGTTTTGTTGCCCTTTGATCTAAGATCATAAGAAAACTCAGAGAGTTTCTATTTCTTTTGTGGTGTTTCTGGTGTTTTGTTGCTTTTGCGTTTCGCCATTTCTAGACAATGAAAACATAAAGATGTCAACATTAAATCCCAAAGAAAATTAAACATGCTACAAAAAATTGAACATGTCAGAGAAAATTACAAATAAGGGAGAAAACTAAGGTGGCTAGAGAAAATTATACATTGAAAGTTAAATGTCACAGTACTAATTATTTTCCTGTGGAATACATCTAGCCACAGAAAATTTTCATTCCTAGAGAAAATCAAAAAAGCAACATAAACATGCCAGAGAAATCAACATGGGATAAAAGTAGTGCAGCTAGAGAAAATTATAAATTCCAGAAAAACTTAGATATAGGCCAAAGAATACTAAGTGTTTTCGTGTGGAATACGTGTTACCACAGATAATTTCCATTTCTAGAGAAAATAAACAAAGCAACATAAACATGACAGAAATTTTTTAAAAAATTGATAAAAATTACATATAGATGTAAAATATAACTAGAAAAAATTCAAGAAAGAAACATAAATCTAGCAACCACAAAAAATGAAAATGCCAGAGAAAATTCAAACACATTCTAGAGAAAATTTTCATTCCATAATATTAAAATGGCAGAGAAATTTACATACACAACCATAGAAATTTAAAAATGACAGAGACATACAAAGGAGAAAAGTGATGTGGCCAGAAAAAATCAAAATGCCAAAGAAACTTAGCCACAGACAAGAGAGTAATATTACATATAGATGTAAAATATAGTCAAAGAAAATTCAAACAGATTCTAGAAAAAATTACACATTCCAGAGAAAATTTTCATTTCATAATATTAAAATGCTAGAGAAATTTACAAACAGTCAGAGAAAATTAAACATGACAGACACACACAAGAGAGAAAAGTGATGTGGCTAGAGAAAATTATAAATGCCAGATAAACATAGACACAGACAAGAGAGTAAAATTACATATAGATGTAAAATATAGCCAGCGAAAATTCAAGAAAGAAACATAAATCTAGCAAGCATAGAAAATGAAAATGAAAATGACACATGCTAGAGAAAATTAAACATGACAAGCCAGAGAAGTTTATAGAGTAGAGAAATTTGAATGAATTGTATTTGAAAATTACATGGAGAAATACAGAGAAATTAATCATGCCAGAGAAAATAGGGGAATAAACATGCCAAAGAAAATTTAAAAAAGAAACATAAATCAAGCCAATACCAGAGAAATTCAAATGACAGAAAAATTTGTAGACAAAATCACACAAACATCTTTAAGATTAAGTTCAAAACTTAGAGAAATAACATTTTTCAAATTCATGTAGCTTTTTATTACGAAATTGAAACCCCAATAAATAGAAGGCTAATATAATATGCAATTAATTGTATTTCCAGAGAAAAACTTGTTGGATTGTAGAAAACTTACCAGAGTGATGATGAAACCCTAATTACGAACTGATATGCCCTGAGATGAAAATACAATGAGATGAAGATGAACTGAGATGACGATGAACAGTGAAAACAAGTCAGAGAAATTTGTGAGGAAGGAATGGAAAAGATTTTGACAAAAGATAATTGAAACTGTAATGTCGATAGTGAAGATGATTGTGAAACCCTAATTCTCCTGTTCTCTTGCTCGTGAAGATGGTTGGATTTTTGGAATGGAACTGAGTCGTCGGAATCCAATGGAGTGGTCTTAGTTGATTTGTGAAGGGTATTTTGGTCCAAGAAAGAATTAAAAATACGTGCATTTCAGTTGGGGGATCTGATGCATCATCCTTTTTTTTGGTGTCCTCTATTCTTTAAATTACTATTATTAGGGACCTCAAAAAAAAATTTCCCTTTTGTTTTTTGTATTTTTTATTTTTAGTGAATATTTTTAAAATTTTAAATAATTTTTTAACCAATTTAGATGCACCTTACTTAGATATATTTAAAAAGTAAAATATTTATAAAAATCAATAAATATACAAGAATATAAAAAAAAATGTACTGAATTCTCATATATTTTTTTATTTTTTGGTATTTAGTGAATTTTCTATAGATTTTTTCATAAATATTATACTTTTTAAGTATATTTATGTTAGGTGTATCTAAAAATTTTAAAAAATGTTTAGAATATTAAAAAAATGCAGTAAAAACAAAAAATAAAATGAAAAATAAAAAATTTTAATTTTTTGAAAAGTAAATCCTGAAAATGCAAACCAAACAAGTTAGATATTTGTACCCTTTTTTTTGTGTGCCTTTTTAATTTCTCATAGAAAAAGAAAAATAATTTAATAAATTTAACAAAAAATTATGAGTTTATCTTTTATTATTGGAAGTTGTTTTTCACTCAAATTGATGTATTTTTTTAGAATAAAAAAAAAATAATGTAAGAATTTAAACTTTAGTTTGAATATTATATTAGTTTTTATTTTTCATTTTGTGTTTTTAGATTGACAAATATTGAGTGCATATAGTATACTGGAGTAAAAATATTTTTAAAATAAATAAAATATTATTGTTATTATTTTTTGTTATTTTTTTTTTAGAATATCTCCAACTCTTCACCTTTATTTTTATCTATTTTAAATCTACAAATAACTGAATAAAACAATTTTGCATCTCCAACCCTTTTACTAATATATAAAATAGGAAATTTAGGATTCGTTTGAAATGTGGGTTGGCTTTTTGAATTTTTGATTATTTTAGTTTGGGGCTAAAAAGTCTTATTTGGAATGAGTATTTTCATTTTTTTGACTTTTATATGATAAAAAATAAAATAATTATGATTTTGATGTGATATTTTATCTTATTAATTTTTTTAACTTATTTTTATCTTTTTGTACTTTTTTAATCTCAACCCACTTGTCAAACAGATAAACATGGTCTTTAATCTCTTGTGTTTTTTACATTTCAGTTGAATAAAAAAAATAATAATAAATTACATTCACACCTCCTAAGATTTAAGCCTGATTTGGGAATAGACCTTTTTAATAATTTTTTAGATTTTTGGTTAAATTATGATATAAAAAAAAGGCAGTGGCTTTGGTCCAGTCCAAGATCGGACTGGACCGTGCTGTTGGGTCCGTGGAGGCCCACCACAGGTCCCGTTTTAATAATCTGAACTGTTTAATGTGTAGAACTCGTCGAGCACTATATGTCTGTAAAAAATTACGTTGATCGGATATTGATAGTTATGTGAACAAAACAGTTTTTTATCAACCGTTAATTTTTTCACCGAAAAAATTATAAAAAAAATCTTTTAAAAATTCACTAAATACCAAAAATATAAAAAAAAATACAAGAATTCAGTACATTTTTTATATTTTTATATATTTTTTAATTTTTTAAAATATTTTTTCACAAATTTTTTACTTTTTAAATACATCTAAGTAAGATGCATCTAAAAAAATAAAAAAAATGTTTAAAATTTTAAAAATAATCACTAAAAACAAAAAAATACGAAAATAAAAAAACTCAATTTTCAAAAAACTTAATCCAAAAAACTCAAACCAAATACACTGAATAATGTTAAAGACTCACATTTTGTTTTCATAAATACATTTATAATTATATGACAAAGATATAAGTCACATATAATTAAGTATATAACTAATAAAAAGTTGATACTTATCAAATCATACTAATAATATGGGTTGAATTGTAAGAGATTTTAAAATGTCTCAAACATTTTTTTGTACAAAGGGCTATTTTGGAAAAATAATTGAAATAAATCTTTCAGTTTTTAACTCATTTTAGATTATATCATCTCTCATATTTTTTACTTTTTAAAAAAAAAAATCAAAAAATTAACTTTTAATTATCTTTTCAAAATAACTTAAAATTTAAATATTTTTCTGCTTAGATTGTGTTTTAAAAGAAGAATTCTATTATACATATAAAATAAAATAAAAAAATAAAAACGCAACGTTGTGCATAGAAAGCGCTGGTGATTTGGTTCAAGCGCCAGGCATGTATGGAGAGCTACTAATGATGAGCCTTTTTTATTTAATTTTTACTTTAAAAATGTGATGAAAAGTTTGATTTTAACTGTTGGATTATGTCAAATCAAACTTTCAGTTCTAATTTTTACTCAAACTTAATTATTTTTTAATTTTTATAAAAAAAAAATAAAGAGGAAAATATTATAATTTATAGTATTTTTTTTAAAAAAAATTTAACCTATCCTCAAATTGGACCTTAATAAAAGAATTGGAAGTGGTCTTTACTCATCCTTTGTTCTTTTATTTCAAAATAATTAATTGCACTTCAATTTCTACTTTCACGTGATGGAGAATTGGAAATGGTATTACTAATCCTATATTCTTTAGAAAACTTATAATTAATGTGTTTGATTTTAATTTTTTAAATTTAATTTTAAAAAAATTAATTTTTTTATTTTTTCTATTTTTTTTGGTGAATATTTTCTCTTTTTTTTATAAATATTTTTAGTATTTAGTAAATTTTTTAAAGATTTTTTTCCCAAATATTATACTTTTTAAGTGTATTTATATTAGGTGTATTTAAAAATTTTAAAAATTGCTTAGAATGCTAAAAAAATTCAATAAAAACAAACCAGAAAAAAAACTAAAAACTAAAAAAATTTAGTTTTCTAAAAAGTGAATCCTAAAAATCCAAACCAAACAACCTAATTAAATTTTAAGATTTGATCCTTGTAACAAAATAAAATTTTAATTTTA